AGTTCCCCCAGACACTCAGGGAGGAGTTCCCCCAAACACTCAAGGAGGAGTCCCGCAAACACTCAGGGAGGAGTCCCCCAAACACTCAGGGAGGAGTCCCTCTGCCTCTCTGGGACTGCCAGAGTTAAGGATCAGCCCATCAAGGGGGAGCTCAGCAAAGGTCTCTGCTTTCTGAGCAAAGCTGTCTGACAGCAGAGACGAGTACAACGGAGACATGGAGGAGGAGGAAGAGGAGGAGGAGGAAGAAGAGGAGAAAGAGGAGGAGGAGAAGGAAAAGGCAGCAGATTTCTGAATAAGTTAGTTGAGTCCAGAGATCTCGCTATGACTAGTTCACCCCTTTGTTATACGAATTTCTTTCTAATTAGAAGCCTGATCAGTACTCGCAGCAAGGATATATGCAGGACTAGTGACAGAGGAAGAGAGACCTCTCACTTCAGCTTCATGCCGAAGCGGGGGACATCTGCTCTTTAGGACCCTCACTGCGTGGTGAGGCCCCTACACCAGGGAAAGCATCTGCTTCACAGACTTCTCCTTGCAGTGAATCCTGTCCACAGCACCGCCTCAGAAACGCCCGAACGATGCGTCCCAAACATCTCACCTCCTGTGCTTCAGTTGGCAGAGAAAACCAACCCCACCCGCCTTCAGGCCGTAAGGTTAAACTCCACCTCCTGGATAAAGTAGTATTTGTAGATAGTATTCATTATAAGGAAGATTTTCCTATCATATCCCATTGAGTGCTTTTTTAAGTCTCTTACAACTAATGTATTTTAAAATAGGAAGACTAAAATAACGACGAGAATAAGTATCCCTGCAGTGTATTTTTTATTTTAAGTAGCATGCATATTTTGAAAAATTTCAAGTCATACACTACCCTGTGAAGAATTTCACACATTTCCTGCTTGACTCCTGGTAAACTGGACCTCCCATTGTGTGCTTAGTTCCCGCCCCCATTCATGGGACAGGTATTGAGTGCCTACTATGTGTCAGAGAGCATGCTCAGCCTTGATACGGAGCATGAGATGTCTTTGCTGTCCTGACATGTGGGCTGGGTCTACATTACCATTTTTTCTTGCATCCTGGGGAAATTGGTTAAAAATTATTTGAGCTCTGCAAGATAAGATAGTAACGATAAATGATATCTTGTTGCATCTTCCCTTTTGAAAGTGTTAATTGATTTTTAAATACTGTGAGTGTGCATGTGCCTGAGTGTATGTTTGTGCAATGAATTGGTCAGGAGCCGGCAGGGGCCAGAATGTTGTGCATTGAGGCACCTGGAACTAGAGTTACAGATGGTGCTGAGAGCCTGTGGGGGCTGGGAATCCAACCTGAGTCCTCTGGGGGAGCAGCCTGCTCTTAAGTGCTGAGCCATCTCTCCAGCCCATGGAAACACAGCTTCCACATGCCACACACATCTTACCCACTAGTCCTGTAATGACTTATTGATACAGGAAAGACTAGATGTTATTAGCCCTTATTCTTATGGCTTCAGAAATTAAAGTTCAAAACGGCGAGATGCCTCCACGGATAAAGGCACCTGCCACCAAGGCAGAGGACAGTGTTCAACACCTGAGACCCACAAGGTGGATGGAAAAGAAGAGGCCACACGGGTCCTCTGACCTCCACACGAGTGCCAGGGCACACCCGTGACCCGCCTCTTTGTCTCAGTAAGTGTAGTGAAAAGACAAGATTTTAAACCCTCAGCCACACAAGCACACACTAGGCTGCAAGGCTGTGCTCAGGTCAGGGCACGGACGCACCCCTGTGTGTGACACAGACTACCTACTTTGAAGAATCTCTTTGGACACACTTAAAAGGCTGCAATGGAAGACAGAGAAAGTAAAAGTTGTGGTCTGCATTTCTTCTGGCAGCTTGGGGAGGGCGCATTTTTCTCAGCGTATTTGGAAATGGATTCTAGCTTTTTACCCTTCTACTCTCTTACATTTTGAGAGATCATTCTTGGCATTTAGGAAACAATACAGTCATTTTCTCCCCACATCCTCAGCGTTGGAAGTCTCTGGTCTTATTTCCCAGTCAGTCTTTCACTGTGGCTATTATTTTGGGAACGCGTAACATTCATAATTTATTCTGTTGGAATCCATTTTATGTGAATAAATACGTATGACTGTTTGGAGAGAAGAGCATCCAAGACGTGGAGCTCTTCTCTCCAAACAGCCCGCACTCTGGCACGGTAGTGTGCAGGCCTTATGTCACTGACCTCTTCTGTACACACGTCACAACTGAGAAGGAAATTGGAGGCCATCTCCGTACGATATCCACCACCACAACACTCCCAAAGGCAGACTGGAAACAGATGGTGTAAACAGCTTGTTTTATTTGGAAAGTCCGAGTCCCATACGGGAGACCTAGGTCAACAAATTTCAGGGTCTGGATCTGCTCAAGTTTCCTGGTTCACTTCAAGACTGGGATTTATGATTTAAGGGTGGTTCCCAGAGAGAGGGAGGGAGAGAGAGAGAGACAGACAGACAGACAGACAGACAGACAGACAGACAGAATGTGTAAGAGAGAGAGTAGGTGTGTGTGTGTGTGTTTGTGTGTGAGCAGGTATGTGTGAGAGAGGTGTGTGTGTGTGAGAGAGAGACAGAGAGACAAAGACAGAGACAGAGACAGAGAAGTACCGTTGGAGGCCAGAAGACAGTGTGGGATCCCCTGGAGCTGGAGTTACAGGCGGTTGTGAGTCACCCAGTGTTGGGTGCTGGGTGCTGGGACCCAAACTCAGGTCCCCCGAAGAACAGCAAGCAGTTTTAATGACTCAGCATCCTTTCCTGCCCTAGAATTTTCTTATATGACCACAGCACAGCAATCAAACAAGAAACTCGACACTTCTGTAATCCCGTCCTCGTCCCAGGATTCTTGGATGTAGTCATTGTCCTTCCCGGTTAAGACCTAATTGAGGATCTTGGTGCCATATTTAGTCATCGTGTCTCGTGAGTCTCCCTTCATAGGGTCCGAGTCCCTAGCCTTCCTTTCTCTCCCATGACCTTGGCAGTTTGGAAAAGACAATAATTGTTTTGTAGACAACTCGTGTCAGAAGTTTCCTCATGATTAGGTTCAGGTTATGTATTTTTGGCAAAAACACCACACACAGGGCATGCTCTAAGGGTGTCACTCTAAGAGGTGTATGGAACCCGTGTGTCTAAGGACTTGGGCTCCTCTCTCATCGCTTAGGAGCTTTTGCTACTATGAAGTCCAGTTTTCAGGGGTCCCTTTAGGGGTGCGGTTTGAAGATGATTACAACACGATGAGGAAGATTTCAGACGAGGGCTGTCCACCGGGGCTCCCTGCAGTGATAGAGGGTTCAAGTCTGTCCAACGTGGCAGTCAGCGCCACGTGCCCTGAGCACCTGCGTGAGGCTGGTGTTACTGGAGACGCCCAAAGCGGGTAGGATCAGAATTTGAGAAGTCTCATAAAACACCCTGTACTCAACCTCTCCTAAAGCATCCCGCCTTGGAGTTTTTCGTGTGCTCTGGGTAAAAGGGGGTCAGATAAAGGGTCAAATAAGCCCGAGCTTGGTCCGAGGAGGTACTCTGAGAAACACAGTATGATATGATATGCTGTCGCCTTGGACTCTATACCTTTTGTTTTTAGTTTATCCGTGGTGACCATGCATATGGCACGTGACCCTCTGAGTCCCCAAAGACCTCCTTCACTTGTGTAAAGGACTTAAGGGACACCTAGCAGCAGTATTGGGGCCGGACGCCCCGGTCGCCAAGGTGTTCCTGACGCACCAGCAAGTTGGAGTTCACAAGCAGAGCTTTGTCTAAGTCCATAGGGGCGAGAGGTTTTTTTTTAAAGTTAGCGTGTGGATTCCCTTTTACCTGTGAAAACCAGGAAGTGATTACTACAGTGACGGCCCAGTCCCAAAGGAATTAATGCTAAGATAGGGGTCCTTGTCTGCACCCAGCGAAGCCCTCTAAAGATGCCGCCTTGCGTTTTCATGGAAGGCTGCCTGGCATGCAGGGCTGGTCCACACCCCCCTCAAAGTCTCCTGGAGGCTGTTCTCATTCAGGGCAGTTGTTGAAAGAGGGTCTAAGACCCTCAAAGTCACACCCACATCCAGTTCCCGGAGGGGACCTACAGTGAGACAGCATCAGGGGAACAGGTTTGCGGTCGAGGGCGGAGAGCGGTGTTCAGTGTTTGGTACCCGGGCCGCAGAGGCTGACAGAGGTGAGGCGTGGCTTCTGTCTTTTACTTAGGCTGTAATTGCTCTGCAGGAAGAGCCAGGGCGAGAGCAATTTCGTTCTGTAACCCCAACCCATTCCGTAGCTTTGATGGGCTCTCTCTGGGCTGAGAGCCGCTGGCTGACTTCAACAGGGCTTGATCTGGTCTCTGAGTTCCGCGCCTGGTGAGATCCTGAACACTCTGTGTTGTCTGGAGCTATGATTCTTTAAAGTATCAGGGGTTAAAGCAGAAGTTTGTGGAGAACGATTGTATCCCCATAAAAGCAGATTCTATTTTCTTGTTAAGGCACACAGTAGAAGTTTGACCCAGACACACCCCATTAGGCGTGCAGAGACGGGCGTGCGCTCAGGCCAACCACCCGGGAAAGCCGGCTTGGAAATGACTATCTCTTACGCTTTCTTCTGTGAACCTCTGTAAAGATTCATTTCTCTTGCCAAATATAACATCCAGTTACCAAGAGGAATTGTAGAAGTTCACAATTTTTCCCCTCCTCCACAACCGTCTTCTCAGTTCACCACTAGGGGGCACTGTTGGCAGTGAGATCAGCAGGAAGGAAGCTGAGAATTTTGCCATTTTTTTTCCTTTTTACAACTTTAAATTATTTTCTTTCCGTCAGTAAATAAAAACGAAAATTTAAGAGCTACTCCCCCTGTAGTTTATGTGGACTCACATTTCCACCCACCTCAGACACCTCGGGACCTTTTGTGCTCTGCAAGAGTAAAAGAAATTGTAAAGCGTATTTCCAGTTTCTCCCAAATGCTTCCTTTCCCCTGCCATGCCATGCATTCTTGCATGTCCTGTTTGGAATGTTTCCAGCACTCGGGGACTCGCTGGTTTTTTATTTTCGAAACAGTGAAACAATTTTATTTTCCCAGTCGCACCTTCCTGACATTTGTCACCACATCCCGGAGCAGCAAGGGGCTTTTCAAGTCCTGCTGTTCAACTATGTACACCAGCTGGGATCCATCCCACACGCTGATGACAGACTCCCCAAACGTGGAAATTGCAGAAAGCTTCTCTGCATTCGAGGGGAACGATATTGTTTATAGGAAAGTTCACATCAAAGTAAAATCTGCTTGCTTCCCCCCTGTTTATTGTATTAAACTAAATAAAGTTGTAAATAATAGAAATTAAATTATGTTTGCTTGTGCAAAAAAAAAGGGGGGTAAGAGGTGTTAGAGGTGGCGGTGGTAAAATATATTCTGCAGGGAAAGAGCTCCTGAGTGGAAACCAAGATCTGTGAGGTCTCAGTGTCATTTTGTCCCTCACGGCTGCATCTCTCTCTGCGATGACATCACTCACTTTCTCTGCTTCTAGGGTCCCTGTGGATGTACCACCAGCAGCAGTGACAAAAGGCCCCTGTGACCTAGAGCAGGTCTCCGTGCATCCATGTGGCAGGCCACCTACAGCAACGCAATCTGCAGCTCCAGGGTCTGCAGTGCTGGGGGTGCATGTCTTGAATGGATGGATGGATGGATGGATGGATGGATGGATGGATAGGATACTCTGTGGCGTAGGATGCCAGGCCTGTGGGTGGGGAGCTCTGCCAGGCCCGACGGTGGTGCAGCTGAGACCGTGTGCGCTCTGTGAGCCCCGACGGTGGTGCAGCTGAGACCGTGTGTGTGTGCACTCTATAAGTCCGGATGGTGGTGCAGCTGAGACCGTGTGCTCGCGAGCCCCGACGGTGGTGCCCTGAAACCGTGTGTGCGCACTCTGCGAGCCCCAATAGTGGTGCAGCTGAGACCGTGTGCTCTCTGCTGGCCCCGACGGTGGTGCCCTGAGACCGTGTGTGCGCTCTGCGAGCCCTGACAGTGGTGCAGCTGAGACCGTGTGTGCAGGAACAGAAAACCTGAGGTTCCTAATAGGTGAGGCAGAGCCTTATGAACTTTGAAGGCAAATGTTGCATTCCTGCTTGAACAGTGTGTCCTATGAGTCCCTCACAGACACAGGTATTTGCTGGGCCTTCTACAGTTACAAACTCAGCCTTGAACTCAGAGATCTGTCTGCCTCTGCCTCCCAAGTATCTGGGATTAAAGGCTTTCGCTACCACCACACCCAGCTAACCTTTTTTAGATTTTAAGAACCATGCCAGTTGAAGATGGGAAGTGGCTCACAGGTGTCCTGGTCACATTTGTCAGCTTGACCAGGCTAGCATTATCTGGTAAGAACAGCTCATTGAGAAAAACAAAACAAACCAAACCAAACAAACAAACAAAAAACCCACCTCCATCAAATTGCCTACAGGCATGTCTGTGGGGCATTTTCTTGATTGATGATTGACGGGGCGGGCTCAACCCTCTGTGGTTGGTACCACCCATGGCTGGTGGTCCTGGGTTCTATAAGAAAGCAGGCTGAGCAAGCCACGAGGAGTAAGCCAGTGAGAATCTCTCCCCCATGGGCTCCGCATCAGCTCCTGACTGCAGGTTCCTGCCTTGAGTTTCTTACTTCCCTGGATGATGGACTGTAAGCTGAAAAGTTAATAAACTCCTTCCTTCCCAAGTTAATTTTGGTCAGTGTTTTACCACATAAATAAAAACCTAACAAGAACAGTGAGTAGGTGAGAGCGTTTGCTTTGTAGTCATGAGGTCCTGAGTTCAAATCTCCAACACCCCCGAAAGGCAGGAATGGCTGCATGTGACTGTGACTGCATTCCTCGGGCTGGCCAGCGGAGGAGACACTTCAGAGAGACGGGTCTCAAAGCAATCAGGCGGAGAGCAAAGGAGGAAGACAGCTGCTGTTTTACTCTGGCCTCCGAGTGCGTACAGTCTCACGTACCGCATACACACGCAGGCACACATCAGCAGCAAACCTGAGGTCTCCACTTAGAGATTACGCAGGTGTTGGGTCTGCAATCCGAGGGCACACCCAAAGCAGCCAAGCTCCGTGTCCAGTAGGGCTCACACCTTTGAAAACAACCTTGGAGCGGACTCCGGGCATTCCCTGGCTCCTGCAGGGCCGTGTCACTGTTCTCTGGGTTCACAGGTTAGCCCCTAGCAGGCCCTAACACCTGGTTCTGCGGGCATCAGGTGTACTCATCGGCCAGAGGACAGGCAGGGAGCCGCAGGTGGGTCTAAAAGCCACGGGCCCTATCCTGCTTGGGAGACTCCTAGAATCTTCCAGCACACGGAAGTGCTGGCACTTACCATGCTCCCTGACGGACTTTCAGTTGCTGAGATAAACACCATAAGTAAAATCAACCTGGGGAGGGAAGGGTTTATTTTAGCTTACAGGGGACAGTCCATCGTCCAGAGAAGTCAGGGCAGGAGCTCAGCAGGAGGCTGGGTGTGAAGCAGTGGCCAGGGAGCACTGTCACTGGCCGGCTCATCACACACAGTCAGACCACAAGGAGCACTGGCTTGTTCATCACTCACAGTCAGACCACAAGGAGCACTGTCACTGTCTTGCTCATCACTGACATTCATACCATGGGGAGCACTGTCACTGGCCAGCTCATCACACACAGTCAGACCACGAGGAGCACTGTCACTGTCTTGCTCATCACTGACATTCCCACCATGGGGAGCACTGCCACTGGCCGGCTCATCACACACAGTCAGACCACGAGGAGCACTGTCACTGTCTTGCTCATCACTGACATTCCCACCATGGGGAGCACTGTCACTGGCCGGCTCATCACACACAGTCAGACCATGAGGAGCACTGTCACCGGCTGGCTCATCACTGACATTCACACCATGATTCACACCATGGGGAGCACTGTCACCGGCTGGCTCACCGGCTGGTTCATCGTTCACACTCAGCTGCCTCTCTTCCACAGCTCGGAGCCACCTTCCTGAAGATGGTGCTGACCACATGGGCATGGCCTCCTTCCACCAATCAGCGATCAAGAAATGCTCCACAGACACTCCCACAGGCCAACCTGATGGAGGCGACTTCTCGGCCGAAGCTCTCCTCCAACTCTGTAAGCCTGTGTCAAGCTGGCAGGCGAAGCTGTGACTCCGGGGACACGGAGGCAGCAGGAAACTGCAGCTGGCGTCCTCAAGGGCGCTCATTCACCCAGATACCACCCACCCCCCCATCAAGGCTATTGATGCCCTCCATGCTTGCTGTGCTGTGAGCTCACGTGGCCACGCACTCTTCTACTAAGGGCAAGGCGAGCCTCTCGTGGGTGACCAATAGCACCGTCTGGTGCTCCAATTTAGCAGTCAAGGATTTCTCACAGCCTTCACGACTCCTGATGGTTCTCCAGGGCATACGTACAGTTTAGCAGCAGCAGCCCCTTCTGCTGCCCTTATTGGCGTCTTAGTCCAGAATGCCGTCTCTCCCGCTGCTTTCTCCTCTAGCGGATAATGTCCTCAAGTTGCTGCATAGCACAGACTACCATAAGCATTAAGTTGCCATTGCCATCCAGGGCTTATCTGTAGCTTACCTACTAACCACCTACTCGCCAGGATGCCGTCAGCTCACCCCCACAAAGACGTCGGGGCCAATCCTGAGTCTCCACAGTGCTGTCTGTTTCCTTCAACCACTCATGGAACCACTTCTGATGGTAGCCCAGGTCCGCCCTCTCCGATGAGGACGGCAGGATGGGATTCAGTTTGCTGATATTTGTGTGAGAGAGAGTAAGCCGGCACTGTAAGACACAAGACTCGATGAGTATTTTGAGTTAAAGGCAGAGCCGTACGCACTTACTGTTACACACATCTCCCTCCCACGCACCACTTAGAAACACCACAATAATGCTCAGTTCACTGGGAGGACAGAGTCTGGCTGCAGGCTAGATTTTACTCCCATGAGCGGTACGTAGCTTGTCCACCTCCAGTGAGAGACAGTGGAGAAAGATTTGGGCAGGGTTGGGAAGGAAAGGCGCCAGGCCTGACCACAGGTGACAGAGTGAGGGAAGGCTTCCGGGAAGCATCCTCGACTATGTACGGAGGACTGAGCAGGGCCGCCAGCGAGCCCTGGAGCCCAGCTGAGCTGCTAGACGGTTTCACAGCTCTTTCGGGGCTCACTCTGGTGGGAGGATCCTTCCAGAGGGCAGTCCATCTTCCTCAGAGCAGGACTTCTTAGACTTCTCTGCTTATGACTCCTTCCTGCCTGAGAAACTCAGGACACCTGGGTGTATAAGTATATACAATTGGTAAATAAATAAAATGTTTACTTACAGTAGGTCATCAAAGGATTTTGAAACAATTCTTTGATACATATGATTTTATCATTTATTAGAGACAGAACTGAGTTTGTATATTACTGAAATGGGCGTGATTCCTTACTGAACACACAGTTCCCAGGATAATACTAGGTTTCCTCCTGACATCTTCACGTGGGACACGGGGGCTTCCCTCTTATCTAGCCCCCCCTTCCTTTCCTTCTGCTCTGCAAATTGTCCCCTCCTCCCTCCCTCCCTCTCTCTCCCTCCCTTTCTCCCTCCCTCCCTCCCTCCCTCCTTCTCTTTCTCTCCCTCCCTCCCCCTCTCTCTCTGTCTCTCGTGCATGCTGAATATGGTTTAAGAAGACCTAAGAAGCAGTACGAATAGATTTCTCTCCATAAAGGTCACACTGTCCCTATTCTAGAAGAGGGAGAAGGGCTGTCCCCTTCAGCCCAGTGGGACGCTGCATTAGCAGAACAATTGGAGGCTGCGCCTGCCCCTTCCTGGCTTCAGGTATGTTGAGAATGCCAGGCTTCATTGTTCCCCACCCGCCTGTAGCTCTAACTCTAACTGGTTTTAATAATAAAAACCCGGAGTCAGATACAGGGGTAAATGGCGAAAGATCAGAGGAGCAGAGCAGCCAGCCTCTATAGTTCTCACCTGGGCTGAATCCTCAGACCAAAGCGGGATCCTGTCCCCGGAATCCTCAGGCTGAATGCCATGAGCTCCCGTCTCCTCCCACCTTATATCCCTCTCTCCGCCCAGCCATATCGCTCCTGTCTCCACCTCCCAGCGCTGGGATTGAAGGTGTGCATCACCACTGCCCGGACTCTATGGCTAACTGGTGGCTAGCTCCGCACTCTGATCTTCAGGCAAGCTTTATTTGTTAAAGCGCAAATAGAACATCACCACACCTGTCTTTCTGATCTGATCATTTTAGGACTGTTGTGATCTCTCCAACCTCACATCCCAGCTGCACCCACTGCTCAGAACGTAGCAGAGGTCTTCCGGGTCAAAGGTCATGTTCTTGGGGGAGATTCCAGCACAAGGCATGCTCACTGGCTGTTGTGAGCTCTGCTTCCTTCAGCGGAGTCTCCACGGCACGCTGATCATTTACCTGAGGAAGGATGGGGTCTGTTACACTCTTTTGCGTTCCTTAAGAAAACAAAAATGTTCTCCAATTCCTATTCAGTTTAGAGTGAGGCTTATGGTCTATCATCGCCGTAGGCTTTCATATCGTAACCTTAAGCAGAATCCATGTAGTTATTTGTAGTTCTTATGAAAGCCTTGCAGATGACATACTGGCCTCTGTTCTACAGGTGAAGGTGGGCCTTAGAGAGGGAGGGCCCTAGACCCGGCATCTTCTTACCAGTAACCGGGTGAGCTCCTCGGCAGAGTGAATCTGCCCTGACTCCAGATTGCCCATCCCACTCCTCCCCTAGCCCCGGCCCCGGGATGAATGTGTTGCTATGGACAGAGGCACTCCACAGTCTCATGGTGAGGACACATTTCTACATCCTTCTGTAGGAGGGAATGTTCACCACACACCGCTAATGGCTTGTCACAGTCTCCATGGTGAGGATACATTTCTACACCCTTCTGCAGGGAGTCATCTACACCACACACCATTAATGGCTTGTCACCGTCTCCATGGTAAGGGCACATTTCTGCACCCTTCCCTAGGAAGGCATCTACACCGCACACTGCTAATGGCTTGTCACAGTCTCCATGGTGAGGACACATTTCTACTCCCTTCTGTAGGAGGGAGTGTTCACCACACACCGTTAATGGCTTGTCACCGTCTCCATGGTGAGGACACATTTCTACACCCTTCTGTAGGAGGGAATCTACACCACACACGGCTACCGGCTTGTTTGTTTGGGGAACACTTCAGTCTAGTAGGCATGAGAGGAAGGCAGGACTTGGTGGGTCCGTGGGTCCTAGCTTCCTCTGCTACACAGAGCGATACTAAGGTCAAAAGAGCAACGCCACACGTCTCAGAACTAAGGCTGACCACTGACAGAGGGACGAGGCCAGACTTTGGAAGGACTGGCCTCCTCTGTCTCCCTTCCCTATGCAACCTGCTATCTAAAGATGAGAAGGAAGCTGCCTTTTTTGAGTGTTAGCTCCCCACTGCCTCAGGCTGACAGCTCACTGAATACAACACAGTTGAAAGAATCCACTCCTGGTTTTTGCCCATGTGTCAGGTGACACAGATATGACTTCACCACAAGGTGATTCAGAGTTAAAAAAAAGTTTTGTGGGTAAATCAGTCTAAGAAAGGCTTCCGGCCTCCCCTCCACTGGAAGGCCGGTACTGCCAATGAGCCTGTTAGAAGGCGTGCAGCCGAGATGTGTTTAGTAGAGGCGTCCTATACTAGCTTTTCCTCAGCATTTGCCCTCACTCCAGCAAACACAGCGCACCGTGGGCAGACAGAATCATGTGGGCACAGTTTGCACAGAACAGACCTGTGCCATGTGGCCCTGGCCGCTCACGTCCTTGCTGAAGGTCACCCCTGCGTTTCTTAGGGGCGGCTCTCCGGAGTGTGCGTGTCACAGTCTTTGCTAATTGCATCGTCTGGTGTGGAGGAGGCACACGTTTAACAGAGTGGCAGACTAAGCCATTAAAAATGATAAACACAGCAGAGAGTAGACACCACAATGAAATGTATTTTCTATGTCGAACGCAGTTCCTCCCCCAACACCGTGACCAGGGAGAGCTGCTCCCCCCACACCAGTCATTTGGTGGCACATGGGTAGGGAGTCTGCTCTGAACCGACAGGCAGGTCTACAGCTGAGAGATTTAAAACCTGTCTGGCTGTGTAGAGGTCAGAGCAAGTGTGTCTCTCCCAGCTGTGCTCTGCTTCCCTGCCCTGACGGCTTCACACAGACTGCCAACATCCGAAAAATCCTACATTAAAAATTACATGCTTTCAGTGTGTGTGTGTGTGTGTGTGTGTGTGTGTGTGTGTGTGTGTGTGTGTGCTGTTTTATCTGTGTTTTTGAGATACAGTCTTTCTATGCAGCTCAGGCTATCCCCAAGGTCACTAGTAGCCCATGCTGGCGCAAACGGAAGTCCCAGACTAAAGCTAGCCCTGGTGAAGACTCTCCAGGCTGATTAGCTACTGTGATCTTAGACGGTAGACATGTTGTAGGTGAGGAGCCGAATTATCTAGTTATTTTTAGCTCTCTTAATAGCCATTCATTGCTCGCCTCTGTGTCTGGCCTGACGTCCGTCCTGTAACTGTTCGGTAAGTCTTTTGGAATGTACAAATAGAGCCCCTACTTCCACCAACACAAGGGCCGGCGTGCCATCAGGCAACGCCGAGGCCGGCAGCAGAGTCTGCCCCCTTTCTCGTTACCTACCTGACTGTGTTCTCTACTCAAGCCTCATTCATGTCGGTACCCCAGAAGATGGATTTGGGGTCCTGGACCCTTTTTGTTTCTTCTTCCTAGCGCATGGATTAAATCTCCTCTCGGTGTTTTTGCTCATTGCTCTCTTTGACTGATGACGCGTTGGGAAAGACAGTGGAGCCTGACTTGCTGGGGCTGTGGCCCGCACTGATTACAGAAGGATCTTTGTGGAAGACAGCACGGTTTGTGGCATTCAATTTATGAATGACACGAGGAGCTTTTCTGGCTTCAGGACAAGTGTCAAGAGGTCACTTTGAGTGTTTCTGCCTAAAAACTGCCCGACCAGAGTTCATCTCCCACTCGTCTTGCTTTTCCCTCCCTCTCTATCTGGGGTCATGCAAAGTACCCAGAAACCACTCCGTGCCCTGGAGGCAGCTGAATGCAGGGCATACCTCAACCCCGCCTTGGCTCTGCTCCTGTCCCTCTTTCCCCTGGCCTAGACGCTACGTGAATCACTAGGGAGCACCTGCGAGCCGTGTCCTTCCTCTTCATTGCCGAGGCAACAAGACAAGCCTCTACTTTACACCTGCAGGGCTTGGCTTCTAGAAGTCCCAGATCCAGACCGCCCCCCAGTGAGGGCAGTTAGTGGCTCTTGCGGTAGAGGCTATAGTCTGGACATAGCAAGGGTCTCCTGAGACCAGCTTGTCTCCTCAAGGCAGTAAGAACTTCCTAACGACTTGCAGAAGCAGACCTGAGATGGACTAACAGAGCGCTCCCTGACCAGCTGCTCATGTCTGCAGACTCTGCCCCAAAGACGAGCTTTCGTGTCTGGACCCTGCCATCTGTGCCTCAAAGTCTCTTGCAGGTTTTCACGTGGCTCACCTCTCCGTCAGCCTGTGTGGCCAGTCTTAGCCCGTGGGGAGCTGCCTAAGTTACGGCTCTTTTGCCAGAACTGTGGTTATGGGGTGACCAGGCGTGTCTTTGCCTCTCACCAGGAAGAGTCGACAGACCGTCTTTGAAATGGCAGAGCCAGTTCATACCTTTGCTACTTAAAAAGCGGAAAGGTACTGTGAGAGCCACAGCCAGAGCCGCCCGTGCTCAGGGTCTGCCACGACTCTCTGGTTGCGGTTAATAGCCAGAATCAACCCCAAGTTGCCTCTAATCATCCTAAAGCCATTTATCACCAAGCTCTGCACCGACCTAGTGTCTGAGTTGCTTTTCTGAGTTGTGATAAGAAACAAGGCAGCGTATAAAAGGAAGTGTTTAATTTGGGGATTGCGGTTACAGAGGGCTACGAGTCTGATGATGCAAACCACCGCGAGCTCACATTTTATGCACAGCTGGAGGTAGAGAGAGGCACGCTGGGAATAGGAAGTCTTTCAGAACTTCAGCACCCACCCCGGTGGCACACCTCCTCCAGCAAGCCCAGGCCTCCTAACCCTTCTCAAACAGCTCCGCCAACTGAGGACCAAGTGCTCAGACACATGAGTCTATGAGGGCCATTTTCTTCCAGACCTTCTGACTGTCAGGTTAAACATTATTTTAGTCTCTTAATTTTAAATTACATGGTGTATGTGTGTGTGTGCGTGCGCGCGTATGTGCCTGTGCGTGCCACAGCTAGATGTGAACACCAGAGGATAATTTGTGCAAGCTGGGTCTCTCTTTCCAGGACCCAACTAAAGTCATTGGGCTTGGTGGCAGGCGCCCTTGCCTGCTGAGCCGTTTTCCATGTGAAACATATTAACATAGCATACCACACCAGACAGCAGCTGGAGTCTATGGCAGTGTCTCAGGGCTGCCAAACCCCACCCAGCTGGTTTCCCCACACTTTTGTTTGGCTAATGTTCTGATTTATTAGACCATTTGCTGCATGACTATAAAAGTTCACTTTGGCTCAGAATATACAATCCTTCATTCTCTTTGGAGAGAACTGTACTTTTCATTCACAATGAACTTGCAAAGCCACATAAAATATTTTATTTTTATTTTAAAAATACAATGGTGCAGTTAAGTCATAATGGTAGCATTCTTTTAAAAGATTTTAAATATATATATTTACACACACATACACACAGTTAAACATATACATGTGTGAGAGAGACAGACTGAGAGAGAATACACATAGCTAAACATATATGTGTGTGAGAGACGAGAGAGAGAGAGAGAGAGAGAGAGAGAGAGAGAGAGAGAGAGAGAGAGAGAGAGAGAGGATGTCCATGGAGTGCAGCAGCCCAAGGAGGTCAGAAAAGGGTTACTCCTTGGAGCTGGAGTTGAAAGCAGGTGTGAGCCACGTGACACAGGTGTGCCTCCTGGGGACAAGCTCTGGTCCTCCACAAGACGATGACAGGCCCCTCACTGCTGGGCCATCCCAACTGCCAACAGTCTACTCTGTTGCTTTTAAGCATACAGCGGAGTCTGCTTATCACCCCATCTCGTACCTCGTTCCTTTCTTCCCCTTCCCCAGAGTGAACTTGTGTATATTGGGCTTGCTTATAGTTTTCTAGCCCATATTTTACAAGTCACCAATGTGTACCCATAGTTTTGTGTACCTGGAAGTGGCATTACGTGCACACACTCTCCACTGAAATATCTGACAGTTACGATGTGTGAGCCTGGCTCAGTCGCTTTGGCTCCCCGTGAACCCTCCATGCTGTGGGACAGAGGTTACTCCACTGGTGGCAAGGGGGCCTGCTTTCCACGCTTATTCAACTTTCTGTACTTACTTCCCATATTTACTTAAGACGCAGGGAGCTTGTGC